TTTTTTGTGTAAATTATTTTTCAGAATATTTTTCAGAATATTTTTCTTCTTTAGTTTTCCTTCTTTCATGTATTTTAAATTGCTGACATCGCCTCATAGTTTTGATTTTATTTTCAAATCAAATTTTCCATTTTGGTATTCTAGTAGGTTTCTTTTTTGGCATGTTATAACCCAGTTCTGCAGTTATAACAGCAGCTGTGTTATACATTAGTTGTTTGGTTTCATATAGTGTGCTGGATGGGATGGAAGTTAAAATGTTGTTCACGGCAGTTAATAGAACTTCCACTCGTTTGCTATGCACTTCATGAATGGTAGGTAGTCTTTTTCTTTGATGTGGTTTTCAATCTTTTCTTTCAGCACTTAGCTCTACACTTTTGAGTTGTTGCATAGGAGGATTTTCATCCTGTATGTTGGTTTCTTCCACTGGCTAGTCAGTTTGTTCAGGTGTTGGAGCAGATTCTTCAGCTTGTTCATCATTACTTGTTGTTTTCATTTTAGCCAATATTTCTAGATGTTGCATTTCCACTTCTGTGAAAATTTTATGGCAGATTATGAAACCTCTTTGATCCATTAATCTTTGTTCAGTTATGTCACTTTCTGGGGTTTTTCCTTCTACAGTTGCATCATTCTTTTTTGAAATACACTGGTTGTTGATTCTGCCTGGTAGTAATATTTGATGATTTCTCGATTTTCTTTGGTTGTGCAAGTTTTGCCCTTTTGTTCTAGTTGCTTTGCAGTTGCATGTCCTGTTTCCCAGTAGTAACAATTGACCCCTGTAGCCCCTTTTTCGACAGACGTCCAGGAGCCATAGTATCTGACAGGGCCCTTGTTGATCCAGGCAATGACTGATCCAATGTGGAATTTTGATGATTTCTTCTCATCATTAGTAATGGTAGGTGCCTGGGTTTGTTCATGGTGGCTAAGCCACTACTGATCCAAAGATGGTAATCTCATAACTGTAGGATAGCTGTCCAGGCTTAGCTATGGCAGCCTAACTGCCCGTTTGATGGCAGAACAGCAGGATCAGGACTGGTGGGGGGAGGAAAGCAGCCTAACTGCCTGTTTGGTAACAGAAAAAGAATTATTATAATTATAATTATATTACTTTATTCATTAAACATAAAACTCAGCCAACTGAACATTCAAAAATGCATTACAAATACCAGTGACTGGTGCTAATGGTTGATACGGTTTGCTNTCAACCCTGAGCCGGTGAGATTTGAACCGCTGACCTGCTGATCTAGCAGTAGCCTGCAGTGCTGCATTTAACCACTGCGCCACCTTGGCTCATATTTGTCTTACAGCCAAATACCTTGGCTGTAAGACTGGAATCCTACTTACCAGAGCAAAAATTAGCATTCATAGTTAAATTAATTAAAAGCATTCTTATATTCTTCCATTACAACAACATTAGAAAGAAAAGGGATGACTTACAGGAAATATCTATGTGTGTCAAATGTTCACATCTGTAATAGAATGAGTGAATGGCCTACACAAATGACAAGAGATGCTGGCTAAAAAACAATCAGACAAGGGAGATCCAATGGAGGAGTGGGTTTCAGCCGGTACGCACCAGTATGCCCATACCCCTTCCTAAAATTTAGCATGCTGTCCCATACCTGAGCTTCCAGAGGCCAGAACGCTCCTTCCTCTGGCCTGCCTCCTGCTCTCTCCCCCCTCCCACTCGCTGCTCACCCTGCCTGTCATCGCTAGGCTTGCCCCGTCCACCCACTTCCTTTGCCAGAGCGGAGGATTCGGCGGTTGGGATAATCCCATGTGTGCCATGTGGGCTTCTTCCAATGAGGAAGAAACAGAAGCAGAGGACTCGCCTGCTCTGCCAGGCTCCCCCAGGGCTCTGTGCCAACAGCTGAATCCTCTCCTCCTGTTCCTTCTTTGGCTGTTGGAAGAAGCCCAAGCAGCGCACACTCCCTTCTCTTGACAGCCACCTGGTTTCCAATGGGGAGGGGAGAAATCCATGCATTAGAGAGGGAGAAAAAACACATGGATTTCTCCCCCCCCCCATTGGAAACTGGGTGGCTCTCAAAGAAAAGGGAGCATGTGCCACATGGGCTTCTTCCAATGAGGAAGAAACAGGAGCAGAGGACTTGCCCGCCCCTCCAGGTTCCCCCACAGCTCTGCGCTCTCCAGAAAGAGTTGGGCCAATGGGGGATCCCTGTCCTGGGATCCTCCAGGGAAGGGCTGGGGACTGCACTGGACCTTATTCCGGCCACTGCTTTTCTCTCGCCCTCCATTTTGGGAGCCAGGTGGGCACTTGCGCAACCTCACCTGGCACCTTTGGTGCCTAAGGCCCACGGGGGCAGGACCAAAGTTTCAGCACCCAGAATTGGAGCATGGGGGGAGACAAGTCCCACCAATCTCGGCTGGCCCGAGCACCAGCCACTCCTTTGCCTGCATCTCCAGGGCAGACGATGGCTGCCTCCCTGGCGCAGCCCCCGCCTGCCCATCAGAGAAAGGCAAAGGGAGAGGCAGGGCAGTCAATTGTGCTGGATGCACAGCACTGAGGTGGGGAAGAAGATTGAGGCACGTGGAGCCACAGACTCCCCCCTTTCCCCCGCCCCACAGCTTGCTTCCTTCAGTGGGACCAGGGAGTGCATGGGATAAGTGGAGTTTGTGACCAACTTCAAAGTGAATGGGGCTGTTTGTGACTAAATGGGATAGAGAACATAGAGGGATGCAAAGGAACGTGGAGGTAATCTAGTCCAACCCCTTCCCAAGGCAGAAGTCCTTACACTTCCTTCTCTTTGAGAGCTGTCAGTGGCANTAGCACGCATGAATCCCCGACAATCAGCTGGCCGGTGCACATGCGCAGGGTGGTTTTTGGCACTGCTGTGTGCGGGAAGGGATCACGCTCCAGAAAAGGCAAACTTCCGGCTTCTGGCGCACATGCGCACCTGACAATCAGCTGGCCGGTGCTCAGGTACGGGCTGATTTTTGGCACTGCCATGCATGCGAAGGACAGCTGATCGTCGCACACGCATGCACTCCAGAAACCCTGAAGACCAACAGGCAAGCTTATCTGTGCTGGGCGCACAGCTTCATGTGCCACTTTGGCCATGTGTGGCATAGGCACACATGGCCAAAGTGGCATAGCGGACTTAATTTGAAGAAGACTGATTCTGGTTGAAAGTCAGACTAAACTTTTTAATAAGAACAGTTCAATGGGAATCAATTACTTAGAGAAGTAACCAGGCTTCCATTCATTTGATGTGTTCAGATGGAGTGAAACAAATTAGGATGCTTTAATTTGGGTTTCTGCTCTTAAAAGGACACTAGACTCAATGGCTTAAATAATCATTTTTATGATCCTATGAATTATATCTTCCAACTTTAATTAATACGAAATAAAATGTTCCCCACTGAGCAGATGTTTCAGAGATATTTCCTTAGTATACAGATACAATTTCATCCCATCTGGGGTTTCCTAATCTAGGAACAGCTATGTCACAATAATCTTGTTATTAATTCCCAAATCTTCCAAATAACAAGAAGACAAGTATATATATCTACTAACCCAAAATACGTTCCTGTATTTGTGCTTCATGAAGAATATGCTGTTCTGACCCCACTCCACAAACACACCAAACTGCAAAAAGTTTCTCTCGCATGCTAACCAGTCAGCCAGTCCATAATACAACTAGTTGTCTGCCACACCTATTCATCTCTGCCTCTCGCCTTTTATCCCCAGAACTAGGGTGGGGCCTCGCTAGCAGTGGTGACACTTTTGTCCCCAGGATTGGCCCACGGCTTTCCACTGTTCTCCTTTTCTCTGTCTTCTGTGCAGCTGCACGTCAGGCACTGGATCCAGCTGTTCCTCCTCTTCTTCATCAGCCACCTTCAGACAAAGGGGGCTGTTGACTCTCGATCCGAGGGATGACAGATAACCGAGGCTCCACCTGTCTCTCTCTCTCTCTCTGCCAGCTCCATTCCCTCCTCCCCCTCAGAGCTCCCAGGTTGCCCTGATACTGACCCTGACGCCCTCACCTCCTCCTCCTCTGATTCGACTGCTGGAGGGGCCGGCAGCCCACAAGCCACAACATAGGCATTATAAATTAAAATAAACAACCGGATTTCTCATTAGTTCTTGTCCGAACCAAAGAACTGCATCTATGTAATGCAGGGGTGTCAAAGTCACATTGTCACCGCAGTGTCACATGATGTATTTTCCTTTGCTAAACCAGGCATGGGCGTGGCCAGCATGTGTGACACATATGGCCTGTGGAC